GTCGTCTTCAATCAAAAAAAATACCTCCCCCAAAATCACAACAACACAAACATAACAAAAAACAAATAAAAAAGGGTCTTTCCCCCAAAAATCTAAACCTCGGATGTCTCTTCCAAAAGCTACCCAAAAATCCTTCCAAAGAATAAATAAAACTAACCAAAAAAACGCTCCCCCTCCCCTACCAAACCAACCTCGTCAAACTCTAAAATTCCCTCGCCCCCTCTCTTAATCCACAAATCAAACCCACTTCCATCAAATCCTAAAAACCTCCTCTCCCCCAAACCTCTCCCCAAATCAAAAATCCCCCGAAAAATCTACTCTTTTTTAATAAATTTAAACAATCAGAATAAAATAGTAGATTATTAAATATTCTAAATTATTTATTAAAATCAAAAAAGAGAATTTAACTAAAATTATATTGATGTGTAACAAATTTAACCAAATTAGTACACCATTAAGTAAAAAGAAAATCATATTGTATTTATCAATATGTGTATTATGTGTATGAGAACAAGAATATAGATATTTAAACTTAAAAGTGTAATTTTTATAAGAATTCTTAAAAAAAACCAAAAGTTATTTAGTAAGATGTCGAGTAATTTTTAGTGTATAGTTGGGCCAAATAAAAGAATCGACTACATGATAAACATAAAAGAGGGAGGTCAAACGTTACATTTTTGGTCTTTTTCACAGCTTTTACCCGTTTCAGCGCAGTTTTTGGGGGAAAGTTTGGGATTTTTAAGATTTTATTGATTTTGAAAGGATTTGCATCGTGGTACAGAAAAGTTATGTGAGTATAAAAGTATAGAGCAGTGTTTACCAATTTTGATAGATTTTTTTTAGAAGATTTTGGGGAAGAACAGGCATTTTGGAGAAGACGGGGACGACGGGCAAGCGGAAGGTTTTTTTGAAACTCCGAGAAGGGTGGAACAGTTTTAGGAGAATTGGGGCCCCGATGGACAGAGTTGAATTTCGTTTTGACAAAGAGACAGATTTTTATGGGGGCGAGCAGGCTTTTTTCAGGAGTTTTGGACTTGAGAGGGGGAAGGAATTAAACGGGGAGGAGTTTTATTTTGAGTATGGGGAATTTTCGAAGCGACGGGACAGATTTTGTTTTAGATGGATTATAGGAGGGGACCCGCAAGGAGGGGGGATGTTTTCTGAAGGATTTTGATTTATTATTTATAGGAGAAGGGATTTTTGGGAGCGGACTTCGAGCGAGATTATTTTTGCGAGAGGAAGTTAAACAGGGGGGTTTTGGGGGGAAGAGGATTTTTTGGACCAGTTAGACCAAAGAAAGAGAGGGGCCCGGAATTCTTTGGCTTGTGGAACACCCCAAATTGGGATTTGATTTGGAGTTTGGGTTTGGTTAGTTTTTCCCGACGGCGGGCAGAACATTTTTATTTGGGGAGGACGGGGGCAGAAGGCTTTCGAGTGAAATTTTGAGGGGACCGAGACCTTTTTTGATGTTTTAGAGTTTATTTAATTTATGGAGTTTTACAGGCAACCACAACCAAAAATAATAATTGGTACAAATTTAAAAGGCTTTTTGGAAGGGGATTTTGGGGGACACCCGCCAGATTTTTGAAGAAGAGTCCGGAGGAAGGGGGGGAGATGTTTTTATGGGGGGAGGGGAGAAGGAACGGGAGAGGAGCGTGATCCAAATGAGAGGATTTTGGAGAAGGACGGCCGAGGGAGAGTTGGGATTAGCTTTTGGACCAAAGGAAGGAAGGGAGGTTTTAGGAGAAGGAAAAACGATTTTAGAGTTTTGGGGAAGGGTTTTTGAAGGGGTTTTTTGGGAGGAGAGGGGGGGGAAATTTCTTATTAATGGGATTTAACGGGGACAAAGGGGGGGCAGAATTGAGTACAACACACGGGGGAGGAGTTTTGGTCCGAAAGGAGGAACACGGGAGGGGAGACAGGATTGGGAAGCGAGAGAGGGGAGAGGGGAAGAAATTAATGGTTTTTGAGTATAAAATTTTTATTTAGTGTTTTAAAAGAATAATAATATATTTTAATAAGCGATGTAAAGTCGAATAAAAAGCGGAGAAAAGAGAAAGGGTCTTTTAATGTCAGGTTGTTTATATAGAATTTATGGTGTCGGTTTTAGTCTTGGTTTTTTCATAGCATTACAAATTATATGTGGTGTGTGTCTCGCATGACTATTTTTCAGTTGCTTTATATGTGCAAATTGGTATTTTGTTCTTTTTTTATGAGATTTTGATTTAGGTTTTGTGATACGAAGTGTACATATTTGTTTTACTTCATTACTTTATTTTTTATTATATGTACATATATTCAAATGTATCGTTTTAGTAATATTATTTGATACACATCTAATGGTCTGGTTTGTAGGATTTATATTATATATATTTATTATAGTAATCGCATTCATAGGATATGTTTTACCATGTACAATGATGTCATATTGAGGTTTGACAGTTTTTAGTAATATTATAGCAACGGTACCAGTATTAGGTCAGTGACTATGTTATTGAGTATGAGGAAGTGAATTTATCAACGATTTTACATTACTAAAATTACATGTATTACATATATTACTCCCATTTGTATTAATTTTGGTATTATTCTTACATCTATTTTGTTTGCATTATTTTATGAGTTCTGATGCATTTTGTGACAGATTCGCATTTTATTGTGAAAGGCTTTGTTTTTGCATGTGATTTTATTTGAGAGATATGTTTTTAGCATTTTTTATATTATTTTGTATGATGTATATAATTTTCATAAATTGATATTTTGTTTTTCATGAGGAGTCTTGGGTAATTGTAGATACTTTAAAAACATCAGACAAAGTGTTACCAGAATGATTTTTTTTGTTTTTATTCGGTTTTTTAAAAGCTGTGCCAGACAAATTTATGGGCTTATTTCTCATGGTTATACTATTATTTGCATTATTTTTATTTATATTAAATTGTATATTATGATTTGTATATTGTAGAAGTTCTTTGTTATGACTAACATATTCTTTAATATTGTTTTATAGTATTTGAATGAGTGGTTTTTTAGCTTTATATGTAGTATTGACGTACCCAATATGAATGGAATTACAATTTTGAGTATTATTATTATTTTTATTAGTTGTATGTAGATTAGATTAAAAAGTAAATCTAGACAACAAAATGTGTAAAACATAAGTAAAAAGAGGAATTTGGACGAATTTTAGGGAAGGGGACCTTTAGGGGGGGAAATTGAAGGAGAAGGGGAGAGGGGGGAAGGGGAGGAATTTGAAGGATGAATTTTTGAACTTATTTATTAAGTTATTGATTTGAGGAATTTAGCAAGGGGGAAAAAGGTTTTTAGGGGAATGATTTTTGGAGATTCGGGGAGAGGCAGGCTTTTTTGGACAACAACGGTTTTGAAGACACCCATTTAGGTAGGATTTTTAAGAGAGAATTTTTTTGGAAGGGGGGGATTTTGGGATTTGGGAGGCCTTTTTGCCAAACTTTTAGGAGAAAGAACAAGAAAGGTTTTAAGAGGAGATTTTAAGAAGGGGGAAGAATTAGTTTATTAATTTGGCTATAATATTATAAAATCAAATCAAATAAATTAATAATGTCAAAGAACAAAACATAAACAAGACAACTTAAAAAAAAAAATAAATGATTAAATTGCATTAAATGTAATCTAACCACCCAAAACCCAATAAATTGATATGAAAACACAAAAATATTAACGATTAACCTAAAATAAAAAATGTAGATAATGATAAGCCATACAACTAAAAAAAAAACAATGCAAATACCAAGGTAGGCTAGTTGTAATAATAAACAAAAGACTTTCAAAAAAAACCCAAATACTATAGGAATAGCACCAATACAAAGAAAAAGGCATGCTAATAAAATACTAATAGTAAAGTTGTTAAAAAAAGAAAAAAATACAAAGTTGATCAAAAAATAATTTTCATTGTATTTATAATCAAATATGTTATATACAATAAAAAAATAATAAATAACAACAAGAATTATCAAGCTAATACTATAAATGAGGTGAAAGTTTAGGTACAAGTAAAAAATATAATTTTTTGTAGAAATAAATATCAGAAACAAAAAACAGAAGTTATTAACACTTAACACAAATAGTAAACTAACAATAGCGAAACTATTTAACCCTATAAGAACACATGTACACGATTGTAACAAAATCAGCTTAATGAATATAATGTAAAAATAAATAAAACATACCAAGATAATTATAAAAATAAAACAGAATAAAACATAAAAGGACAACATATAAATAAACACAAAAACACCTAATCTTATGTATAGCTGTTCCATAAATAAAATAAGAAACGCCAAATATAATTTAAACAATACCAACAAAACATAAAATAAACATAAAACCCCCAATCATTCTTCATCAAAAACTAAAAAACAAAAGTCACACAAAAAAAAACAATAATTCAAAACCAAAAAATATAACAAGACAAAGAGTAGTATAAAATTTACCAAATTAATCATATAATAATACCATAAAACCATTATTTTATAACCAAATCTACTAGAAATTAACAATAAAAATAGCAAAAGACTAAATATTTCAAATAAAATAGAAATCATGATAATGTGTGACACAAAGACAAACATAAAAATAATAATATATTGAATAACAATTATTAAAAAAATAAATCTAGTATCAAAATTTAAAAAAGAAAACATTAAAATAAAGCAAAAAACAAACAAAATCACAAAAATAAAACAAATGTATGAATCTAAGACTGTAACTACAAATACATTTATTAGGCAAATCCAAACTAAGTCAAAGGCTATGTGTGTCAAAACTATATAATCACATAAGATAACAAAGCTATATATCAATAAAAATATAAATGTATGTATTAGATACAAAAACATTGGATTTTGGAGTTTTATTTTAGGGACAGTTTTTAAGGTTATTTTGAGAAGGGGGGAGTTAAATTATTTGGGATGGGAAGCGGATTTAGGACATTTAGGAATAAGTTTTCGTTATTAACAACTACTTTAAAATAGTAAACATAAGATCTTAGTAATCGCTATAAATGAAAAGCATAAAAAACCAATAACAAAAAGAAATAAAAGTATAAAGGTCTGTGCAGTAGTTATTTTTAATCTAAAGCATATAACACGAGGTATGAAAAACCCAAATACCAAAAGGACAATAGATTTGAAACAAACAAACAAACCACCGAAGCATAAACTTGCAAATAAAATAGTGCATAATAAAAGATGATTAATTTCGAGTACAGAGTATATAACAAAAAATGCACCAGACAATTCTGTCACTAACCCCGCCACTAACTCACTTTCACATTCCATATAATCAAAAGGGAGTCGTAGACCATCTAAAAGTAAGCCAACCCAGAAAACCCCAATAAACAGAACACCTAAAAAAAAAAAATTAAAAAAGGAGAGCTGGGAAACGCACATATCCTTAATGCCAAAAAAGCTAAAATAATCTAGCAAGTAAAAGCAATAAAATAAAATAAGAAGTACACTTTCCGATAAAATCGAAAAAAACAATGTACGCATAGCCGCAAGATAAATAAAACAACTGGAAAACAAAAAACAACCAACTAAAAAAACTCCAAAAACATTCATAAATAAATGGAATCCAATCAAAAACATAATAGAAAAGCCCTTATCAAATAAAATAAGAAAACCGAGTGGGAAAAAAAACCACGGAAAAAACATGCAAAATAATGTAACCAATAACCCCCCAAGAAAGTAAAAAGTGTCAAAACTTACTATAAAAACAACAAATTTGACAAATAATTTAATACCGTCTGTTATAGGAGTTAGCAACCCAAATAAAAAAAGTGCAGGCCCTATACGAATCTGAACTATAGCCAAAATTCTCCTTTCACACAAACTAACAAAACCGGACAAGACTAACAAAACTAAAATAAAAATAAAAATAATAATACAGATGTCCAAATGTAGTAACAAAATGAGTTTTATATTAAGTTTTTGAATGATTTTTTTAATGGACTCTATAGTAGTTTTATTATCTTTTGTATGTTTTTTATGTATATGAATATGTGTATTGTTGGCATCAACTATATTATTTGTTTCTAAAATCAATAATATATATTGTACATGGGATTTTGTATCGTCTAAATTTATAGATGCATATTGATTTGTCTTAGGAGGTATGTTTATATTATGTCTTATACTCCGACTATGTTTATTATTATATTTTAGTTGTTTAAATTTTGTAAGTTTTGATTTATGTAAAGTAGTGGGATTTCAGTGATATTGGGTTTATTTTTTATTCGGAGAAACAACAATCTTTAGTAATTTAATTTTAGAAAGTGACTATTTAGTAGGAGATATGCGTCTATTACAATGTAATCATGTATTAACTTTATTAAGTCTAGTCATTTATAAATTATGAGTATCTGCGGTAGATGTTATACATTCTTTCACACTAACAAGTTTGGGAATAAAAGTAGAGAACCAGGAAGATGTAACGAAGTAATAATATTTGCATCAAATAATGCAACTATTTACGGACAATGCAGCGAATTATGTGGTGTTTTACATGGTTTTATGCCTATAGTTATATGTTTTATATAAGGTATGTAATCTACAAAAGGGGATTTTTAAGAAGTTTTGATTGAGTCGAGTATTTGATTTATTATGTGTTAGAACATATGATTTTATTTTATGATGATTTGACTTAGATTTTATATTGTATGATTTTGTTTTTGATTTTGTTGTATGTATAACGTTTATATTTGTGTTTATTTTAGGTTTTTTTTTAAGAATATTCTTTAGTTTTGTATTTGTTCTGTTATTTATAACATTTTTTGGAATGTATTCTTTATCATTACTTTTTACAGGGTTTTATATATTCTATATATATATACTGTATAATTTTATATGTTTTTTTTTTGCATTTGGTATTAATTTTTTAATATATTATTTAGAGTTTTTTACATTTTTAATATTTTACATATTTTTCGATTTTATAAGTTTTTCCTCATTTACATACACACTTTTCGGATTAACATTTCTATTTAATATAATATTCTGTACATATCTTTTTTGTCTATTTTATTTCATAATTTATTTCATATTTTGTTTCATATTCTTCGTAATACGTTGTTTATTTATAGTTGTGTTGGATTTTTTATTTTTTAATTTCGATATATTCATATCGTTCCTTTTATGTGACATAGGTTATTTAGATTTTGTATGTTTTTTATTGTTATATTTTAATTTCATATTCAATTTCATATACGGTTTTTTCTGTTTTATAATAATATTAGGTCTAATTTTCCTTTTACTTTTTTTAGTAATCAGCCTATTTTTCGGCTTCATATTTTTAATATATGGTATGACATTGTCCCTAATCAACCTATATTTTTGGTTATATATAATATACAGCAGGAGTTGTTATATATTAATGCCAGCAATACTCATATTTTTCAAATTTTTATATTTCGACGTATTTTTCATATTCATATTCATATTAATATTATTTATAATATGTTTTTTTAGTTTTTTCTTAAAAGATTTTTTATTTTTGTCCCTTTTTTTTGATCTATTTGGCTCATTATTTAATTACGACGTCATTACATTTAATGTATTTTATTTCCACCTGCACCAGTTCTGTATAACCCAATTATTAAGTATTTATATATAAAAAAACAAAAACAACGATTGCCAAAAATAAATAAAAAAAACAAAGCAAAAACATAAAATTATTAATAAATAATCTAAAACAATATGTGCAAAGTCTACAACCAACAAATATAACGCCATAACACATGGAAGTCATGTGAAGAAATAAAAAAAACAAAATAAGTTGTAAACAAATAAGTTAACGAAGAAGAGACAATAATCTCAAAAAAAGAAGACACTAAATAGACAACAGCAAAATAGTACTAAGGTGGCTAACATAATCATACCATAAAGCATAAAAGAACTCCAGAAAAGAAAACTAATAGGGTAATCAGAAATCCTTCTTGGAAAACCAAACATACCAGTGCTATGCAAGGGAAAAAACACCATATTAGAACCACACCATAAAGTCAAAATAAAAAAGAAGAGTCAAAAAGTATACAATTCGATTGGTAACCATTTCATTAAAAAATGACAAAAACCGCCAAAAAATCCGACCACCGCACCAAGAGAAAGAACATAATGAAAATGGGCTACAACAAAATAGGTATCATGCATCATAATATCAATACCAACATTAGAAAGAAACAAACCTGTCAATCCACCAAATAGAAACATAACAACAAACATATATATAAAATAAATTTCAAAAGCCACGTATAAGTCTGTATACAAGAAACTATATATCCAATTAAATAGTTTAACGCAAGTAGGTAACCCAATTAAAACTGTAATACTACCAAAATATGTTCTAGAGTCCACATCTAACCCTACAACAAACATATGATGTGCCCAAACAAAACACCCTAAAACAGAAATAAGTACCATAGAATAAATCATTGCTACAGAACTAAAGACACATCTGAAACCAACCACCTCAATTATAGTAGAAACAAGCCCAAATACGGGTAAGATAATAATGTAAACCTCTGGATGACCAAAAAACCAAAATAAATGCTGAAATAAAACTAAATCACCGCCCCCAACAACATCATAGAATGATGTATTAAAGTTTCTATCACATAACAACAATGTAACACCTCCAGCCAAAACAGGTAATGTTAAAATCAATAATAGTGATGTTAATAAAGAACCCCATATAAAAAGCGTCCACACAAGGAAACTAAAATATTTTCTTCTACAACAAAATATCGTGCCAACCACATTAATTGAGTTTAAAATACTAGAAATACCAAGAAAATGCACGGAAAAAATAACGAAGTCACAGGCCAAACTTGAATGAAAATCTACACATATCAACGTAGGATATAATGTCCACCCAACACCCATACCTTCTTCAGTCAAAAACCCACTTACCAAACACCCAAAACCACCCATAAACATCCAAAAACTCATATTGTTTAATCGGGGAAAAACCATATCAGGAAAACCAACCATTACTGGTGCAAAATAATTTGTCAAACCACCCATCATAACAGGCATAATAAAGGCAAAAATCATAATTAATCCATGGGAGGTAATCAACACATTATAAAATTGATAATCTCCAAATAGCACCCCACAACCAACCAACGACAATTCTAATCTAATAAACAAAGAATATACATACCCAACAAATCCACACAAGATCGCAACTAAAAGATAACAAATCCCAATCATTTTATGAGAAACACTTAAACAAACAAGACAAATAAAAAACAAATTTATTAAACCGATTACTACATTTACCAACTTAAACCAAATCTTTCGCTTTAAACCATTAACCAAATACCACCCACCCCAACCAACCCTACAAAACAAACCCCCAACCAAAACCCCCTTTCTCCAACACAAACCAACCACCAAAACCCCCAAAACCCCAATCAAATTATACGAAAACCCCCTTCCCCCTCTCCCCTACAAAAACCCCTTCCTCTAAAAACCACCCCACCACCCCAAATTTCCCCAAATATCAAAATCCCAACCAAAACTTAAAAGCCAAATAATATATTAAAGTAATATAAATATCTATCACTTATAGACTACACAAAAATACAATCAAAACATAAAAATAAGATTAAGTTAGGATAATTAAATGTTAAAATTAGGTGTAATTTGTCTAAATTTTTTAATACTTATATTTACAATACTATATATATTTGTAAATTATAGTTTTTGTATAGGAATAGAAGTAAACTATATATATATAAATCTACATCTAAATTATATAAGTCTTTGATTTGTTTTTTTTATGACCATGATTTTATATTTTTTAATATATTTATTATCAAAAAAGTGTGTATCCTACATAAAGTATTTTTATATAATCACAATATATATATTTATATACGTAAACGTCATTTTAATAATATTAATAGAAGATTTTATGTGTTTTATGATATTGTTCGAAAGCCTTTTTTTCCCTATATGTCTTGTAAGTCTATTCTTTAATTTCAACAACCGTTTCATTTTTGCAATATTTTATCTAATAATTTTTAGTTCGATAAGTTCTATTATGTGTATAATAGTGTGTATAGTGATAATATCACATTTTAATGTTTTAAACTTGCAAGCGTTCGTCGATATATCATTTTTCGATAGTATATATCTCGCAATATTTATATGAATAATTTTGTTTATAATGTTCGCGATAAAGTACCCAATATGACCATTCCATATATGATTACCAGAAATGCATGTGGAAGTAAACACAGAGATGAGTGTATTGTTAGCAAGTATAGTGTTAAAAA